AAAAAGTTGAGGGGTCAAAGGGGTGTTGACTGCCTCTGAAAACCCATAAAAAATGAAAATAAATACTGCTAACTTGAATACACTGTACGTTGTATACTAGTACCCCATATAAATTTTCATAAATTAATGTTATTCTATTCTGGAACAACATTAAAAAAAAATGATGTATCCAACACATGACTTTCCTGTCTAGTTATTACATACTTTTTCCGATTATTTTGTAAAACTTTTATTTCAACAATTTTTTGAATTTTGTCAAATTTCTCGAATACGGATCATTTTAGAAAAATTTGTATATGACAAAAATTATAAACAATAATATTTAAGCAACTATTATTTAAATAATTTTCTTTTCCAAGCGTAAATAACAGATATATTCCATAAAGTAGAAAAACGATTACCCTTATAAAGTACCCCCCAGATGTTCTGACTATGACCAAAATTTGTTCATCTCACTGCAGAATGCATTATAAAGCTTAATTTTAAAACTTGGTGTTATATCAACAACGAAATTTCCGAAAATTTGTTACGATCATGAAACGGCCTATAATTTTATTGAGAGTAGCGAAATAGAGACACACGAGAGAGCAGAAGATAAACGAGGTGTCGTAGATCTCATTGGCGGTGACAAGTGGGAACAATTGAATTAATCACTAATCTATTCAGCCGTTCTATGACCACGCAATTGGTCCACGCACTTCGTTTGTTTGATGTCCAATAAATTCAATTCAGAAATTACTTATTCTGAACTTTCAATTTATGATCTGGACAGTCGGATGTTACCATTTAAATTGGATAAAGTATCTTAATTTCGTCTCTTTTAGATAATTTTTTCAGAACTAATGATCAACAATTCTTCTTGAGATTTTACTATCGAAATGTGTTAGTTGTGTCTAAAAGTTCACATTCTATAGATAAAATACCTAGTGTAAATAGTCTTTCTTGTAGCATTGTAGATCTTAAATAATTTTTTATTATCTTCAATTTAGAAAACAAGTGTTCAGCTGAAATAACTGATACAGGAAGTGTAGAAAAATTCTTAAAAAAATTGTTGCTAATAAATCTTTTTCAAATATACAGGGTGTTATTGAAATACACGTACATATTAAAATGGGGAATAGTATGTAATGACCAAAAACGATTGGCACCAATTTTAACTTCAAATTCTAAAATTTAAATATTGGGGAAGAGTCCCCTTTTCCGACCTACTAGTTTCCATATTTAAAGAAGTAAAATAAATCAAAATTGAACTTACCCATAGAAATTGCACTGTTGCCGTAGCAAAACTAATTAATTCAAAATAAAGTTTATTACAGTAATTGTTCAAAATGCCGTCCATTATTATTCACACACACTTGCAATCGTCTTTCCAAAGAACTTTGAACATTAGAAATTAGTCTTGGATTTTGTCGTAGTTCCTCGGCTACCGCATTAACTTTATTGGTTAATTGTTCAACACTATTAATAGGTTCATTATAAACCAGTTGTTTCATGTAACCCCACAAAAAGAAATCGCATGGATTTAAGTCCGGAGATCTCGGAGGCCACTTAGTAGGTCCATTTCTGCCTATCCACTTTTGAGGAAATCTAATGTTCAAAAACTGCCGTACGTTTAAATCAAAGTGAGGAGGAGCGCCATCTAGTAGGTACCACATCCGTTGCCTTAATTGTAACGGTATCTCTTCTAGGAGTACTGGCAAAATATCTTCTAAAAAGTGGAGATATCCTGGCTCATTTAATCTGTTCGGGAGAACATAAGGCCCGATTAAATACTGATCTATTATGCCAGCCCAAACATTTATTGAAAATTTTCTTTGATGCCCAGTTTCCCTAATTGCGTGAGGATTTTCATCACTCCAAATATGCGTATTGTGCATATTGAACACGCCATCACGAGTGAATGAAGCCTCGTCAGTATACAATAATATTTTTAGAAAATCAGGAATATCAACACATTTTTGAATCATCCATTCACAAAACTCCACTCTCTTTTCTTCATCACCTGGATATAAGGCCTGGACTTTTTGGATGTGATAAGGATGTAAACCTTGTTCTTTAAGTGTCCGCCACACAACAAATGAGGACACTCCAATTTCAAGACCTAGTCTTCTACAACTTAATTGAGGCCGGTTTTCAACAGCTTCCAATATTTCTTCTTCGACCGCCAATGTTCTTTGTGTTCTTGTTCTCCCTCGATCTGCATTGACACTCTCAAATTTTCCATGGTCTCTTAGATGCTGAACAGTTGAAATAAACGTACGACAGTCCGGAATTCTCCGATTTGGAAACCGTTCGCGATACAGGATTTGTGCTTGCCGAGAATTTTCTCCAGCTGCCCCATAAACCAGCACTATATCCGTTAGTTCAATATTCGTAAATAGTGGCATCGTAAAAAAATATTTAAAAGTAATCGTAACAACACTTTTTACCAACTTGGAAATGACGCGCTCGTGTCAGCCAGATTCGTAAATCAACTAAAATTTTAATAATCTATAGTTTCAAAAATGTATAGTTTAAAAACAATCATTTATCAAATATTCTAGTTTTTTGATAACGAGGGTAGTAAAAACCAGTCTTCGGAAATAGAAATTAATTCGAAAATCTTGGCAACATGGTTATTTCTTACAAGACTAGTTTTCTTATCATCTGACAAAAACTTGCATATTAATTACTGTTGATGTTTAAAATAGGTAAATAAACCTAATTTATATAGATCATATTCAACATATCAGTGAAGTACGTTTGTTTTAGAATTAATTTTCAAAAATTAATAACTCCCTTAATAAGGGGTATTTTTAAAAAATAATATTTTTCTACATTCAGTGGGGATCTGCGCAATACCCAGTTTTAATATGTACGTGTATTTCAATAACACCCTGTATATTGTAAGAGATCTGACAAAAACAAAACTTGCAGAGCTTTCATTTCATTAAATAATTCTTTGCAGTCAATATCAGATTCTTTTTGGCTTCATCAATTTTTGTCTAAATATCTATCTAACCTAACCGTAGGTGTATTACCCTATGAAAAAAATACAGCAATATATTCAAATTATGTATTTTTACTTTCCTATCTGTATACAGGTATAAGGAAAGTAGAGGAATCATGATTTTTTTCTGGAAAAAGCCTATAATAACTAGATAGGAAAGTCATGTGTTGTACACATCAGATTTTTAATTAAAATCTTGTTTAACAGTACACGAAGCTGATATGTCTTATTTGATATTCAATATTTTGTGTACAGTACCTCTAAAAAGCCATATTTTACACAAACAGCGTAAAAAATTCACCAAATTAAAAGGTCCGCAGAGGTTTGTACTAAAATTCTGTTTAAAAAAAGATTTCAAAGTTTATTTTTTTTTTACTATAATGAATATAACTATAAAGAAAGCAAAGTCTCTTTAGAACAGATTAAAGTGGTATTTGTACCTAACTTATGCTAGAAAAAAATATGTTTTATGTGTAGGAGCGGAGATATTTGATTCCTATTAAATAATCGGTAAATTCCCTTTGTTGTTGGCAAATTTTTGTAATGTATTTTCAACAGTCTATACTTTAAGGTCCCTATGAAGGTCAGTATCACTGCAGTACCAGGATGCATCGACGATATTCCTTAATACTTTATTCTGGAAACGTTGAATAACTTGAATGTTACTTTGACTGGCACAGCCCCAAAGCTGGCAAATTGCTTCTGTTCCACCAATTCCTTTAAATGCACTAATCTGAAACAAAATATATGTACCTAATCAAAAAGGATTTATGCAAAGTATTTGAATAACAATAGATTTATTAATATTGTTTTAAATTATCTATAATAAAACAATACTCATGTCTAAACAAAATATGAAGATCCACCTAAGCAAACATTATTTATGTAGTTCTCATCTTAATTTCTAAAGACATATTCTGCTTCCCATATAACAAGTTCACAACGCATGAATATCGAAAACCAACAACTCAAATCTATAATTATTTAGAATATAGGCTTGTTTTTAGCTGGTGGCTGGACAGGGACATGATATTAAAATAGCTACATATCCCATCTTCTTACAAATCGGAAATTCTTCATTAATTGTGGCCTTTTACAACATAACTCGTTTAGTAATCTTTTGTGTAACATGTATGCCATGTTTCAGAAACATTTTCAGCGAAATATTTAATTAAAATACTTCAGAAATATTTCAGAAACTTGTACTTGAAATGTTATGTGTTTGAAACGTTTGAAATATTTATGAAACACTTCTGAAATAACGTGTGCTGTATGGACTACTACGAAATTATTCTGGCGTTGAGATATTAACCCTCATTTATTGATTCTTAATAATACAGGGTGACGATTTAATTAAGATTTTCACATAAAAGTGGCCATTTCTTTAAAAGTACTTTGTAGAACCTGATAAAAGCCTATTTTGCCGGAATGGGGAAAACATAACATAACTTTGGTATGCTGTGACTTTATGAAATACCCTGTATATTACGAAATAATTTTAAAATGTGGAGCGGGACTCTATCTATAATTTGTATTTAAAATTTTTGTTCGTATTCTTCAAAACAACCTATTAAAAAAAATAATGCAGGTATTGTTAATTACATCAGGTAGGTGCCCAAGTGTGTTAGATTTACATAATAAGTACTTGGGTTTTTATTAATTTTAATTACTTCAATACCTATGTCACATCGATGACCGAAGCAGCCTAAAATTAAAATGTAATATTCCAAGTCGGCGACAGTACAGCTTTTAATTTCACCGCCACGGGAGATGAACTGATAGAACATCAAAAAACAAATAAAAATAATTACAACCCAGCATACATACGAACAGCTTTGCGGCTCGGTTCGAATCGGCACGATCCGCCAGATTTCGGCCGAACCTAAAAAGCTTGTCGGAGCTTTCATTCTGCAAAGAGCTAGTTCAGAGCCTATGCTGGTGGAAAAGTAGAGCGCGTGCGAGTGCCCTGCTGTTTCTGACGTTTATCGGCTTTTCAAAATACCTGGAAACTCTCATTTCAAGCTGTTTGTAAATGGGGAAATTCGTAAAATTATCAAAAGACGCTTATTCGCGTGGATTTTTGTTAAATTGTATATAAAAATCTTAAAATATTAAGCTCTATAGTGTTTTTGAAGGTTTCCACTTGGATTATCATCAATATTTGTGTTCCTCATGGTAGTGGTAGTTTACATATGTGATTAACAAGTGTTTGTTTTATTAGTTCCTTCAACATGTCTCTAAAAATTGCTAGATATATTATCTTTGCTTCTATTTTTTGTTTCGTTTTCCAAGATGTATCACTCAATCCAACTCCTGTTAAAAGAAGTAAGTATTTTTCTTATTTTATTTACTTATAGGTATATTATACATTTTATAAACAATCCCACTATCAACAAATGCATGATTGATACTGGTTGTCATTTAATGTTGTTTATTTTTAAATTGGTTGTGTCATTGACCTGAACCAGGATACAACATTTAGAAGGGAGAAATGTAAAGTAAATACTAATAATAACAAAATGTGAAAAACAACTATCATTTGAGGAATGCTGTATAATCATTTTACTATTTTAGGTTAGGAATATAAATCAATTTTTTGTTTAAATACCTATGCTAAATTAATATTTATGTAATTATATACTTAAAAAGTATTGTAAAACATTTGCTAGATGTTCAAAGAGTGTGATAGGTGCTTAAACAATAATTATGACATTCCTACCCAGTGTATATGTATAGAAAATAAACCAATAAAACTTTATATCATTAACTAGAAATCCATTTATGAATAATATGAAAAATAGGTACATATAAAACATTTTAGCACGACCCTTTTACGATTTTTGGGTATTTATATTACAATCTGATCACATGATCAACGAGTAGGTAATTTTATATTTAAATTACTACGTTTGAAATGAAAAACAAAGGTCTTATCCAAGAATATTTATATTTACACTTAGATTTGCACTTAGATTTACACCTAGATTTGCACTTAGATTTACACTCAGATTTGCACTTAGATTTGCACTTAAAATTGCACTTATAATTACACTTAGATTAACATATGTAATTGCCGCACTTTGCTCTACACTAATACCCCTGTATAATTAATAATACAGTTGAGTAGCGACAACTTTGGCCGGTTCCTTTGATGTCGGAGTGATCAGATTTTTATTGGCATTTAACGTTTTTTTTTCCGCTTATTTCTCCACTGATAAAAGTAATTTCAAAATATCTAAATATCTTGCCCCTTTGTCTGTTTGAATAAAATATCACACAATAAATGAAATATGAAAACTAAGTCTAAATATAACAAAAATGTATTAAAATGTACATTACAACCAATCTGATAATCAAAAAATTCAACCAATATTAATCCATTGACAATTTACATGTGCCAATTTGACGTATTTCACTCTTTAAGCAATTATTACTAGAGACAGCATAAAGGAGTTTGTAGGCGATTGTTGTGTTGCTAACATCTATAAAAGAAGTGCGGAAGCGGGCACAAGGGGGAATGTAAACACACTCTCTGGTTCAGTGGCGTATCATTTCTCTGTAGGAACACACATTTTCCGAACTTTTTAATAATAAAGAATATATATATATATATATATAAACGTATCTTGACTAAAAACTCCATTTACGTAAAAAACGACTTATGACCTTTTAAGCGCCAGCCACAGAAATGTCGCCAACCAACGTGGGGCAGTCTGATTGACAGATGTCAAAATTTTTTAATTGTCATTGTTTAATTTGAAAAATGTATGGACTATTAAGATATACAGTATGGAACAGCCAAATGGAATAAATTCGATAATAAATAAATAGAAGCGTGTTGGGAAAAACGCTTGGACACGTCGATTGGTATTTTTTTTAACAAAAACTTTTTATACAAGGTGTATATGTAACAGTTACCAACACAAACACCAACATTCTTATTTTAAATGCAACACCCTGCATATTTTTCAATTTTTGGTTTCTTCAGATAATTCTAGACTGCAACACTTTAGATCTTGTTTTAAATAATAATAGAAAAGATATTTTTGAGATTTGCCAAAGCCGATCGAAACGGTGTGTGAATTAATTTTATAGAAAACGTCGGGCTTCGTTCAATAATTAGTTGAACGAATGAATACATAAAAGAAAAAGAAAATTACATGATGGGAGGCGCGAAAATTAATTTAGACGTCTTTTTGGGAAATTAGATAACGCCGTCGGGACAGAGAACACTCTCAACTCGGGCACAGATCGAATCTCCGAAAAAGAAAATAACGGGCCGGTTTTCTCCAAAAGTAATAAATAAAAAAAATTGAAAACGGGTTAAACCTCTCACTTCAATGTTAACTGGGTGTTTCCTAAGAGAGATTGGATATAGTCGTCGAAATTGAGAGCACTCAGAGTCTAGCCTATATCCAGCCTCAAATAAAAAATTGCCAACGGTTTCCCACTAAGGGGTGAAATGAAATATCCTGGGTATGAATCAAAAATTTTTCACTTGTCGTACGGGTGTCCCAACTAATTGTAAATAAAAAATAATTGTCGGTTTCCTATTTTAGAAAAATAAACGGGGTTGTTCAGTATTTTATCAATGTCACGGTCACTCACAGAGTACTTCACTCGTCAATGCAGGAGAGAGAAGAGCTTACGGTTGCCGGAAATCAAAATAGGGTGATTCCCAGTTGTTATCGAATTTATGCTATCGCTGGGCAAGCTTGAAGACTGGTAAGCCAGAGTGGGAGATACCACCACTACAGCTGACTGTTTACAATTTAAAATAAAAAGAAAAATGTCCTTCTAGTACTTTGACAAATAAAAGTAGATAATTGTTGAAAAACGGTAATTCCTGGGAAACAGAAATACGGGGATCTTCTACATGTCCTCAGGCGGTAATTAATTGAAATATACATTTTTAAAATTAATTACAAATAAAATTTAGTGACTTCGTCACAATGTTTAAGGCAGAAGTGAGGGGCGACAAATACCCAATTCGTTCATTTGGTAGAATTCTTGATTGTCAATTTTATATTTTTTTAGCATCTAAACTTCTATGTTTGCGAAAAGGTAAATTTCCTTTAGTTACAATATGATGTTTAATATTGTGTTTTATAGTTTTTACTGGAATTGCATTTTTCTTTAATATTTTTCTCCCCTGAGATGTGTAATAAAAATCTTCATTACTAAAATGATTAGAACATAAAAAATTACTCTGGTGGCCACTTGTTGAAGTCCTAACCTGCGGAACCATTTATTTCTAGGATTAAAATTGATACTTTTATAAGTTCATTAATTTTTGAATCTCCCTGTAGATATCAAAGATTTCTTTGCATTATTTTTCGTAACTTTTATCTAATTTAACCAACTCTTTTATAGTATAAAAAATAACAATCCTGTTATAATAATTTAAGATTTAAAATTTATATGAAACAGCAAAATAACAGAACCCAATCAAAAGTAAAATAACAAGAATATTTTAACGAAATATTACATAAGAAATCCGATTAAAAGCTTAACATTGTAAGAACCCGCTAACGATGAACCTTTGAAATAAACGATTTAATACAATTTAGGCAACGTTGGGATTGAAACGGAGCAAATATGCTTAATTAAAAGTCGTATCTAATTAGGTCAAAAAAGTAATTAAGCTGTTGACCCGATTCAGAAATAAGTTTAATTAAAAGATTTATTTTCTTCCGAGGGAATGGCGCTGTAAACTCCCGAGTAGGCTTCGAAAGTTGAAATCAAACTAAAACTATTTTAATAACAGATTTAATTTACCGAGTTTCAAGATTAATGAATCGAGCTACTTCAGATTATGAACAAATGTTAAAGAAAGTGTACTTGAAAACGGAGAAAAATTGTGTTTTGAATGTTCTATTTCAATTTGGTTCAATTTTTTTCTTTGAATTAAAGTTTTATAATTATAAAAAGTTGGGGTTTTAATTAAAAAATTTAAGAAAAAGAAATTTAAAGTACCTAATATGAAGCCACAAAATATACTAGCGTATAAAAATTAATTAGATTACAAATCATTTTTTTTTTGAAAGAGTAAAACCAAATTTGGTAGATTTTCACACTTTTATTTTAAAAATAAAAATTTTTAAAAAAACACTAACATGACATATGTTTCGAAGTACAACTTCTTTTTCAAATGTGACTATTTACAATTCGTTATCCAATATATATACGAAATAATTTAACAAAACAAAGTACTTAAGAAAACATCAATAACATTACAAAATAAACTAACTATTTAAAGTAAATAAGGGTACTTAGGTAATTATAATATCCATCAAATAACAATAAGATAGCCCATTACCGGGATTATCTCACAGAAAACTGGGAAAGAGATTTAATAAGGGTGAATTATTAATATCTAATTGATCATTTAGTAAGTTATCTGAATTTTTAAATCTATTTATTTCAAGTGTTTCTAAATGGTTTAATTTAAGGCTCTTATTTTCTACATGTAAAATTTCAAAGTTGTCTGTAAAAGAATAATTTTCAGCTAAAATATGATTTGAGTAAGTAGAATTATTTTTGTTTTTTGTATAGCTATTATAATGTTCGGAATAGCGTTTTTTGAAAGTACGGCCTGTTTGACCAATATACAATTTTGGACAACTACCACAATTTAATTTATATACCCCCGATTTATTATTAGGATTAATTTTACCCTTATTGTTTTTAATATACTTCCCAAGCGTATTATTGGTTTTAAAAGCTACGTTAATATTTTGGTTTTTTAAATATGATGATACCTTTTGTCACGGCTCCATCAGTTAAACTTTCACACACATTAATTAAACTTATACAAGAAAACTGCAAATTCAATTCAAAGTATAGTATAAAAAATTCTTACGAATTAACAGAAAAATTAAAAAACATTAAATTACCTAGTAACACAAAATTAGTATCGTTCGATGTAACAAACTTATTTCCTAGTATACCTCCTAAAGAAACAGTTAAGCTAGTAGAAAACTTATTAGATCGTAATCAAGTCAATATTATAATCAAAGAAGAAATCCTAAATTTGTTAAACATTTGCCTAAAACAAAATTATTTTCAATTTCAAAATAACATCTACTCAGCAAATGAAGGTCTTATTATAGGGAACCCATTAAGCCCGTTGCTTGCAGAAATATTTATGGATAATATAGAAAATAAAATTCATAGCAATAATTTAAGTAAACATTGTCTGTATTGGCATAGATATGTTGATGATATATTGACTGCTTTTACTGGTACTAGTAGACAGTTAAATTCTTTATTCGTTTTTATCAATACTATACACCCTAATATTAAATTTACTATGGAAACAGAGA